TGGGATATCAATTATTAGACCTGGACGAGACAACACTTGCTTCGCAAGACAAACTCGAAGTATCCGATCCCCTAAGGGCTACCTTTCGTGACAAGTTATATAGTAGTCATAACCTCAGCAAATTGTCAATTACAGTACATATTTGTGTTGCATAATGCAGCCAATGTTAAATTTGCCCTGGGCGACCAACTCTATTTTCCGTACTGGACCCTGAAAGCCGTGTTAGGCTGGAAAGCAATCTGACGTAAAGGATCTTCTCTGAGGATGTGGTCCGACAGTTTTGATTTGCTACGGAAATATGACTGGCGAAACAATTAAGTTTCTCGTTGGTCGCCCTGATTTGGGTAACTGGCGCCGGCCATACAGCAGCTTGGATCAAATCACTGCATCAAAGATAACCCATTGCCATTTGACGTTCGCGTTTGTTGCCTTCCTATGGCAAAGGTCTGCACTATGTTTGTTCAAGATGTCGTGTTCGTTCTGAACAGTTCTATATAGTTCAGATTGTTTGTGGCCTTTCTCTTGTACTTTTCAGCCGCCTTCCAAGCACTATTGCACGCATCGCATTTGCAAGTTCGTCAATTTGCATTTGTGACTCGAACACTTTCCCACATGCCTCATCCATAACACAAATACATGCAGTAATTGGTTCGCTCATGTCTTTTCACGTGATGAGCTGCAGCCTGCTTCGTTGGTTATACATGTGGTCTTCTCCGGAAGGCGTTCCAACAAAGGCACAGGCAACTGTTCACGACCAAACACCTTTAACGCTCAAATTTGCCAGTGCAATGGGTCAGCTTTGCTCCTCTCAGGCAGTGGTGGACCTCCATTTCTTTGCTCTTCACAGTGAAGCCCCTAGATGGCACACACAAAGCTTTGCCCACATCGCGTATGAGCGCAGCTTGTCGCTTGGGGGGCTTGCCCGTATGACCAAATGACTCTCGCGAATGCTCGCAGAGTGTGACGGATATCGAGCGATGTAAAGTCAAGTGTTGGGCGCGGCCTGTTTTTGCATGGGTTTGCACATATGAATAGTGTTGGAACATCGGTTGAGGATTTCGTTCTCCACCTATGCCCATCCTGCCTGAGACACCACAGACTCACGCACCTCTGCTGTACTCTGCTCATTCAACTGATTGAGCGAGATTGTTTTCGCAGCGAGCTCCTTCTGCGAAAACTCCTCCACGAGGGTTCAGCAGGACTGTTTCTCATTAAGCAATGTCCAAACCTTCTCACTAATCACCCTTTGTAGTGCTTCTTCTGCTTGACGAATCTCCTTGATGTACCTCCAGGTCTCTCCAAGGCAACATGTGTTTGCCTTCATAACACCAGCACTTGCACGCCTTTGCTCTCTCTCCAGAAATCCAGTTGTTGACAGTTTTTTCTCGTTCTTCACCATCAACCTCAACTGAGTGTGCTGAAAATGGGACAGTGTTTGTTGCTATACTGTGCTTTGCACAATGTACATGTTCTTTCTTGCTCATGCTTGCAGCTGCGAGTCTCTTCCCTGTTTGTGCTTGGAGGTCTCAAGCAAGAGTTTGTCCTCAAAGCAATTTGCAATGGAAAGAAAACGGAGTGTAGATCACGCTATTCACAATTCTGTCAAGCATCAATGTGTTCTGCAATCTGCTGATAGAAAAGTTTGTCTTCCGGCAACACCTCAAAGACGCATTCAAGCCAAACTACAATCATGGAAACCACTGGGGAGGATCCTGGCCAAGCCTGTTCTCTTTCTTTCATCATGAGACGAAGCATAAGGGTGCTGCTGTCCTAAAGTAGTGTACGCAACGCAGACTGTCAAATGAAACACACAAAAAATGCGAAAGGTACCTCTCCTTCGCGGTCCAGTTTGCTTTAGCTTGCGGCCCCTGCCCAAATTCACATGACATACGCGGAACATTTGAGCAAAATGCACCAGCCTTTTTCAAAGGTTGTTCAGCTTGTGCAGGCTGGGCAGGAAACACAGTTCTGCTCATGTCCAATGGCTTGAGACCCTTGCGTGATTTGTCATCTTTGTTTTTTTTTGTGTATCGCACAAAGCAACGATTTCTTCAATCGGGCTACCAATGGAAGCAAGCCTCTTCTTGTTCCACTTGGGCTTGGTTTCCTCGCAAATTGATGTTTTGTACACCCAATTCCACAAATAAAACAAACTCACCCAAGAGCCTCTCCCTGATGCCGCAGCTTTGCCTGCCAAAGTCAAAGCCATTGCGTTTGCGCCTCGAAAAGGCCTAGGCAGCCGAGGGTCCAAGAGCCGACGTCTTTGGGTCAGCCGCGGCCTCCGGCAGATGAAGATACATCCAAACGCAAACAAGTGAAAACATCCCAAGCATGCAATGCACACCTGCACTTGATACTATCAAAACGACCTATTAGCTGGAGATGTGTCAATATATTTGTTATATATAGGGTCTATCCTATCAGCAGTACCTAGCATTTGATGATGGTGGTTAGTAAAGGCCAAAGCCTTTCTTTAAAACGGTGACAATTGTTTACTGCCTGCTGCAGGTAATAGAACATACCAAAACTATATATTGCGGATAGTGCAACCTTTGTTCTATCAGGGCCTGCGGTATGCTAAGTCGTGAGGTGTGCTTGTCTTTCGCACTCCTCCTTTGGGTCCGGTAACTAAAGCTTGTGTTCCTGACCCAAGTTAGAATGGCAGCTCTTCGCAATCCAAAAACTTAATGCTTATCCATTTCACGATAGATTTCGAACTTCTTCTCACGTTCATCGTTTTGGTTTGCGCGCCACCAATCCCTATCACACCTCATCATCTGCTGTTTCGCTCGGAGGCATGATCTGGCTGCGGGCTTGTCAAAAGTCACCAGCCTGCGAACTTGAATGCCTGAAATCTAACCTGTGGTAGCTTTGCTAAGGGTTGGGTCATCAAGACTGCTCGGCGTTCGAACTCCCTCGCTCACTGCTGGTGCTGCTTCCTGTGGTGTCTCCGGTGCGTCATTCATCTCCATTTTTGCTCTCCGGTTCACGTACTTCAATGAACCTCAAAGGAATATCCACTACATCTCCTGAATCCAGCCGCACTTGGACTGTCTCCTCGCCTTCAATCGCCTCGTCATCATCTTGGGCCTTGTCCTGCTGTTGGTTGGGGTTCCTCAGCGGGGCTTGCTGATCATCTAACTCCTCATCTCTCTCTTCCTTCGCCTTCAGGTACTCATTGACTTGGGCATTGATCCTGCGAAGATCAAAATACCTGTTGCTCTCCTGCAGGTATTTCCATCGCTTCCAGTCACCATCTTGGAATTCTGTGGCGTCCACATACCCTGAAGCCTTGACCAGGCCTCTGTGAATCTGCTGCGCATAGAGCTTCACACTTTTCACCTCCTTTCCAATCTCTTCACTTTCTCTTCCACTTCATGCGTCATTGCTCCCTGGGTCATGACGTCCACATGGTTGTCATCCTTCATTTGCTGAATTTTGTCTTCCAAGGCTTTGACGCGCCTCCACATCAAAGCCATTGCAGCTAGCAAGCTGATGATCACCACCATGGTTACGATGATGAAGTACCACCACCACCACCACCATCCATTATCCTTCTTGAGCTCGACCTCCATGTTCTCCTCTCTCGACCCGGCCACCTGCTCAAGGCCCTCAAGTAGAAGAATGCGGTTCAGCAGCTTTGCCAACTTGCTAATCTTGACTCGACTCACACTCATCTCTTGCAATCGACTATGCTCCTCCTGGCCTAGCCTTTCTCCATCACTGCGTCGAGCATTGCACCAGTGGAGAATCAAACTGATGCGGTTCTTGGTGAGTGGCTTCGCGCCGAGATCCGCAATATTGTAAACTGTTCCAACTGCTCGTACTTGTAGTTCTTCTTGCGCCACCAAATCTGGATCCACAGCAGTTTCCCGGAAATATGCCGAAGTCTTCCCGGGCCTTTCCTATGGCATAGGTGAAGCGCTGCCGAGTTGTCAACTAGGCAATGATGGACAACCTGCTCCTCGGCAATGAACTCCAAGCACTTCTTCAAGTAGATCCCGTCTGCTGCTGCCGAAACCAACGGGTTCAGCTCGGCCTCTGCAGAACTCAAGGTCACGCTCTTTTGTCCTCGCGAGCTGGCAAAGATCACCGCCCCGTTGGCCACGTGGATTGCCGCTGACGTGGAACGCCTGTGGCTCTTAGAACCTGAGTTCTCCAATCTCCAACATACTGTACTGGCCCATTGTGCTCTTCAGGTACCCAGCTTCTTCAGGCTTCCAGTTGTAGGACATGACATAGATCCAGCAAGCTCCTTGATGACATACGAAACGTCAAGCCGCTCCTGGGAAAGGTATATGCCACATCCAACCAAAGATCTATAGAGACCTGCAAGATCTGGCCGTAGCTGTGTGGTACCATCGGCCTCCAGCATCTCCTGGCTGCACGGCAAAGACGGAACCTTTGCTCGCCCCATCTTCTCTTCGTACATCTCTACCACGCTTTCTGCGCACTTGCCAGGATTAACTTTTAGCCCAGTTTCCGTTTCCTCGTAGGTTCTTCTCAGGAACTGAAATGAACTCCCTGGGCCTGTGAGATGCTGCTCTGAGATCTCGAACCGATCCTTGATGCTGGGCAGGAAGTAGTCCATGACATACTCTTTCTCTCCAAGATATATAGTACATCATCCACATGGATCAGTACTGCCATCTTTTTTGCAAGCTTTCCCAAGCATGGGTTGGTTTTTGTGAATTCGAAACCCTTCTCGCACAGCCAGCCAGTGAAGTATTCAAACCAAGCCTTTGCGCGAATTCGCTGTCCCGGAAGGTTGAGCCTAACTTCGAAGTGTCCCGTGGCCGTAGTAACCTGGGTAGGCTCATCTTGTGGGACTTGAAGGAAGGCATCCTTCACATCCAACGAACCAAGTTGAACTTGTGGACCACCATCTTCCGCCTCCTTCTTTCTCATCAGGTACAGCGTTGGTATCAATCTCAATGCCTGGCTTCCACTTGCGGGGCTATGCACATCGTCTCGTCGATCTGTAGCATACTCCCTTGCCACCATCCTTGATCTCCTCAAGAACTGCTTTGGTGCTCCTGGCAGCTTGGATCTCTGCTTTGCCCTCCAATCATGGACAAGTCTTGGGAATGTCTTGAAAGGACTCCTCCTCTTCCAAAGTCCATTCATCCTCCCATTCCAGGAAATCCTCTTCCATCACCTGGTCCATGTGGTAGCACAGTTTTCCTTCTACTTCTGTAGCTTCCACTCGTCTCTCTTCCTGTACTGCTTCCTCTGGCCTCATCCTCTTGGCTTCTGGAGCTTCCGGCTCTAAGCTGTGGACATTCTTTTCAACTGACACCCAGGTTCTCCTGCACCTTCTTCCAGAGAGCTCTTCTGGGTCATAGGTCTCGGAGTGGTAGGCCTTATTGATGAAGGGCCTGTTTGGTTGCGCTCCTCGTCGATCTGATCAGGATTTCTCACTGGGATCAACTCTTGGGCATCTCCTTCAACATAGTCCTTCTTCTTGTCCTCCGCCAATCTTTGCTCCTCGTCTCCTTTGCTGGCTTCCTCACCTTTAGGCCTCTCCTCCTCAACCATGAGGTCCTGTGCCTCTTCAATGACAGCCAGTACCTCCAATGCGTCCTCATCATGGTCAGCAACGGCTTTGCTCACTGGCATGGGGACTCCCATTGGTCCTGTAACCATGGCAGCTAGCCTTTTTGAAGGTACGATGCGGCCACCAAAGTTCTGCTGAAACTCCCATGAGTAAGCCGTGAAGTTCTGGTAGCACGAGAGGTACCGCTTGTTTGCATTGGACACTCTCCTCAATGACCTGCTCAGGAACACCCTATTGCCGTCTCCGATCACCCAAGCGTCCTGAATCTCTGTCTTTCCCAAACAGATGCCGACCTTCCATCTGGGGTCTGCTTTGAATCCTTGCTTGGGCTTCGAGTATGCAAAACACACTTCTCCATACTCACAGAGCTTTCCCTCATAGGCTCTCCCTTGGCACAACTCATAGCTCGTTGTTCCTTGAAAGGGTTGGTATCTGTTCAACAGCCAAGCTCCATGCCTGCACGCCCATGTCCACAAGGGATGCTGACTGCTGAAGCGTAGACCGGTTGATTCTGTCAAGCTCTCCATGAGGGTTGCAGCAACATTCCTGATCCTCTGAATCGCATTCTCCACTAGGCTGTTTCCTGCTGCATCATATATTCGTGTGGCCCTCATCCTCGTCTTCAAGCCTAGCGCCGACCTCGATTGGACCAGGAGTTTGAATGCTTGGCGCAATGTCGGCTCGTTGTCGGAGTAAAACAGGACCTCCTCATGCCCCAGAATTTGAGTGAAGGCTAACAGCTCGTGAGTGATCAATGCCAACTGCCCCTTTGATTTCAATGGCAAAGCCAATAAATATCCTGTCTGTGAGCATACCGCCACCAGAAGTAGTGCTCCACTTTCATCAGCTACTCCCTCCTGGGCTTTGTCCTCCTCATCTTCAGCTCCCAATGCTCCAGATCCTGATGCTCTCGCATGGCATAGGTCAAAGGAGATGGTTGGACATCCTTGTTCACGAGCTCTGCCTGTCCTCCTATGCTGAACACCATGGGGCGTATAGGGGATGCGTGTCAACTGATGCTGCCTCTTCTCCTCTTCAGTTGGTTCCTTTGCCACCGATTGTTGCAGTGGGACGCGCTTCTCAAAGGCTTCCGCCTGGGCTGCAAGATCTCGTGCCAGCAACAGCTCCACCTTATTCTGGTGTTCCAGCAATCTGCTAAAACATGTTCTCTTTCCTCCGCTCTGGCCGATCTTGTAGCATGCACATGCCGCTCTCAAACTCCTCAGTGGGCTCTCCAGCGTCAAGACAACGCCATTGACCTGAATCTGGTTCGGTAGCGCCGGTCCGACTTCAAATCGAACGAGCTGGTCATCAAGGTTCACACCTTCTTCTCGTTCTCCTCCGGGAATTTCCACATCTGCCACTTCCTCTGTCTCACCTGCCTCAGGGATGGCGTGATCTTCAATCTCCTCCGTTCTGGGCTTGTACCACTTGAAGCCTTCATTCAACTCAAACCCAAACACTTCCGGAGTTGTACCTTCTTTGGCGATGGAAGTCATGATCTTACCCATCTCTTCTCCCTTCAACTCTTCAATCTGCTCCTCTTGATCTTCCAAGCTGTCTATGGGTTCGGCCATCTCAACCAACTCCCACTGTCCCCTTTTGTTCACCAAGGTGGACCGACAGTAGCCTTCATCTTGGCTTCTGAAGCCTGGGATGAATTGGGGCCTCTGATAGGACCGCCCCAAACGCAATCCCAACCAATAGTCGCTCTTCCTTTGCCGCCCGAAGTGTTCCTCTGCAACTCCTCATTCAACTGGACGGCCAACGTGCGAATCACCTGTGGTGTTGAGATAGTCCTGATACAGGCATCAACCACAAGGCTTTGGTGCTGAAACGTCAAAGGCACTTCCAGCTCCCCATGTGTCAAACACTCTTCATGAGCCTCCCAAATGAAAGAATGGGTTGGCTCACGCAGTGACTGAAGGTGACCCTCACCTTCAAGATCACTTGGCGACCTTCTGTAGACCGTAGGATGATGTCCACATCTTTACTCCCATAGGTCTTGATCTTGGTTCCTTGGGCATCTTGCAAGTAGGGCGTATTTCTTGTTGCTTCTTCCCCCAACTCTCTGATGAAGCCTGGGAACAGAGATGCATCAGCCCCAGAGTCCACAATCACCGTCACGGAAGGACCCTTGTAGGCTGCCTTCATTTCTCTCATGCACCGTGTTCACCACATAATCCTTCTCTCCACACTCATCTTCGTCGTCGGTGGAGATGGTGTAAAACTCCACTGCGACTTCGGTTGCATAATGCACCACTCAAATTTAACCATCCGTTGAAGCTTCTCGGCGCCACTTGTCGTCGTAGATGGAGAGGTGGTGCGCTGGCTTGATCCTGCCACGCTCTGGGTCGCTGGCGCTTCGATCTGTCGTACTCGCCAGCAGTCCTTTGCCTGGTGCCCAGGCTTTCCGCACGTCCAGCATACTTCTCCATTGCCCTTCCCTTTGCCTCCTTTGTTGTCTTTGGTCCCTTTTCCATTGCCCTCTTTTGCTCCTCCGCCGAACTTCCCACCTTTGCCCTTGCCCTTTCCCTTGTCATCCTTTCCTTTCCCCTTTGACTTGGGGTCTTTTCCTTTGCCTTTTTTGATCTTTGCAACCTTTTCCCTTCTGGACTCTACCGACTTCCATCGGAACTGGACCATCTGTAGTTGAAAGGATTGGGCTCACATTCGAAAAGGACAAGGCGGCTGACTCGTTCCATTTGGTTCTTGTTGTAGCTGCTGCCCTCATTCAGCGTGATGTTCAAGTGGGTCTTCATTTGGCCTCCCACTGATCTCAACAAGATCGCCGACTTCATGTCACCCGTCAGCTTTCCTCCTCCAAGCCGCTCATATTGGGTGAAGTGTTCTTCCAGTTTTAAGATCTGTGGTAGGAGTGAGCTCTTCATGTTGAATGATGGATACGCCATGATTCCCTGAAGCAAATTCATCGTCCGATTGCGCGCATGGGGTTGGCAATTTCCAAGGAGCTGTCGAAGGGCTTCGTAGCCATTGAACTTGTCCACCGTCTTCAGGACTCCCACCAACCTGCCCTGTATCAGTCCTCCTAATAGGGAATACAGGAATCGGCTCCTCTGTTGATCGGTCTTCGTCCGAAAGAAGATCCCAGTCATACTCCGTGGTGGGATTTGCTTCCATCTTCTCGAGCTCCTCTTGGTACGATCCATCAACAACAACTAAATATTGCTCCAAACTCCAAAACCAATCTCTCCATTGCAATACCTCCTGCTCACGGTCTGCTGGATTGAACACTTGTGGTCGGGGTATCAACTTTGCCAAATCCTTCTTCAACCCACCAGACTCACCTCCGCTCGTGGGCATACTCTGACTCGCCGTGGCCTGAGCAGCCTGGCTTGCAGCCAACGTGGCGGCCTGGGCCGCTCCGATCAGGGCCTGGGTGAGCTCGGTCATACCAGCTCCTGCCATAATGAAATCACCACCTGACCCGTCCACCACTCCTTCGTACCCTTCTCAAGGTCAGGGACCTCCTTGGGCTTTATGATGTTGGGACTCCGCCAACTCCTCAACCAACTTGACAAATTCAAAGATGGGGGCAAGGCAAATGTCGATGGCGAAGTTCTCTCTCGGCCTTCAAGTAATCTCAAGCTATGAGGGCAAGACCACAGCCACACCAGTTCTATGGTTGCTAGGCGGGGGCGAAAGACAACACGTGGGGCTTCGGGTATCCGCCCTGGAGCTCCGGCGAGACTTTAGGAGAATCGCCTTCCTTGCTCCGCTACCATGCGGATAGTGCAGCCTTTGTTCTATCAGGGCCTGCGGTATGCTAAGTCGTGAGGTGTGCTTGTCTTTCGCACATAAATATATATATATATATGTATTTGTACAAGTTCACCGACTCAGGCTCAAATAGCAGTGTAGTGGGTTGGAACGGCATGAAGTTTACGCCGCGTCCGGTAAAGTTGCCAATTGACTACATTGCGATATATTGGGACCAAGAATCCACAGGTGCAAGGTGACAATTTTCCAATATGAGGCGAGAGTGAACCTCTTGCAGCAGTGTGCATGCGCAGATTTGAGCATGTTCGTTGGTTTCACCCCCAGCTAGAGATTGCAGAGCGAAGAGTTGACCAAACCCAGTCCAACAGTTCTTGCTGAACCGGTTTCACAAAAACGAAGTGCCACGGGCAGCCCCGGAAGCGCAAATCTTATGTATCCAGCGGCCGTGAAATTTGTGAGCGGGTTTTCTTGTTTGTGGCTGCGCACTTAGCCACTTGCCTAGTTGCTTGTGGGAAATGCTTGCGAAGTTTGCTGATTACTGCCCGTTCAACACATGTGTTCAATTTTTCCACTGTGTTTTTGCTTCCTCTTTCTTGAAACTCTTTCGTAGTTTGACGTCCGACGAGGCAGTGCGCTAGGATTTTTAATTCGGATTTTTAGTTCGGAGGCAATGAACCGTTGGGATGTTTGCACCCCAATTCCGCATGGACTTCGCAACACCTTGCGCGCCTTCCGCAAAAGGAAGCAGTATGGGGTCTCCGTCCACGTGATATTTTTGCGCAAATATTGTGTACAAACTAGATGTGGCAGGGAAAATCATATTTTGTAACGTTACGTTCCATCATGCGCCCCTTGTCTTGACGAACCTCTTCTGGCAAGTTTCCCTTTGTTTCGCAGATCAAGTGTTTAAGGTACCCTTTTCAGAGGATCCCTTGTCGCCAATGAAAGAACCTGCCCCTCCATCGCCCATGCTTCCACAAACTACAAGTTCTCCTGGGGAACCTTGGATTGTTTAATAAAAGTTTATGTGCTGAGTAGGGGCCGAGCAAGGCCACAACTACCAAGAGAAAACAAACCCTCGAAAGGCCAATTGAAAAATTAACACCCTTCCAAGACCACGGCCATCTGGGCTCCAGTAGAGTTCGGGCTGGCTTTGTACCTGGACAAACACACACACACACTTAGATAAGGTTTCATCCAATGTCATAGTCCACAGTGAAAGGGATACTGCAACGGAAAGGCGGCTGAGCCAGCGGATTTGAAAGAGTTTCAACAAAGTGGGTCTGCGGGGCAACGGCGAGGCTGCATTCAGCAGGAAAAGGGGTTTGGGGGGATATCATGTCAAAGGACCATGAAAACAACAAACAGCCCAAGAAGAGTTGGGTCTTGTCACAGGCAGGGTTGCGTCCAGAAGGCGTCCCTTCCAGATATCACCGCAGTACAAGGAATGTCTTCATTGAGTGGTCTGCGCACCACTCGCCTGCTTGCGGTTCGTGAAAGAAACTCAAAAAACCCTTAGGTACAGGGCGTGACACACACAAAGCGCCGCACAGCGGCGCTCTCTGAAATTCTTTTTGCCTTTCACAAATCGTCTGCGCGCGTCAGCAGGCTGCCCTCTGGCGATGTAAAGTTGGATGAGGTGTTGGGCTGTTGCGTTGGCTGCCAGCTGAGGTAGCATCACGGACTTTCCATGGTTGGGAAGGTTGGATGTATGCGATCGTGCGGGCGGGGAGGTCAATGTTGAAGCTGAGGAGGTGGAAGTCCTCCACCGTTTCAAATCCCACTAGATTGCCGAAGAAATCTTGGTGGATCAGGGTCTGAATGGCTGGATGTTGGGGGAATTGTTCATTGTGGGTGATGAAACGGTTGTCCACGTAGCGGTAGTAGTTGAAATGGAGGCTGGTGTGGTTGAGGAGGTTGTTGTGTAGTTGGTGTCAAGCGTGCTCGATGAGAGTGATGGCAACGTTGCAGAGGGCGGGTGACAGTTGGGAGCCAATCCCAGCGCCGCGTATTTGCTTGTAGGTGTGCCTTTACCGCAGTAGCACTTTAATGCAAAA